ACATGTAAGAGGTGGAGTTGGCAAATCAATAGGTTGCTGTTGTGGGTAGTGCTATAGTTACTTGTTGAGTGTACTTAAAGTGGGTGGTTTATAGTTACATGAAGAGTGTATTTATCTATGCTCCCTATAGGTTGGTGTAGCACTGCCCATGCTTTCTGGATATCAGGCCCTGATGCAAGTGCATCATAGTAGTTTCACTAGTGAGTATATTGCCAACTGCAAACATGACCTGTAGTTGTGTACAGTAAAGGACTTTCACTGTGATTACTATAATCTGCCACCATTATGATAATGGACCTCTGCCACCATTATGATTATATGTCTAGTTTACAATAGTTACTGTGACTTTAAAGCTGTAAAATTATAGCAAAGTATCTTAATCCACACTTTACAGACACATGCAAATGTTTGAACAATCCCAGGTCAACTTAAGTAATTAAACATACATATATAAAATGTGCCATATGTCAAAATTTCATTTGACCAGGGGTGCCCAAACTTTTGCACATGACTGTGTATACATACAGTACTTTATTTTGCTCGTGATGTTCATTGTGATGTTTACCAGTTCAGCATGTATCGCTGTAATAAAGTTGAAGAACTGGTGGTCTATACAACGACTAGCATAAGAGCATAAAACCATATCCATTATAGGCTCTGCTGAGAGCTCACTCAGTACATATTGAGAAGGCAACCTTCACAGGACTGGAGAGGCTATAAGAATAGATACAGAGCATCACATTAAAGGCAGTTAAATGTTTGTGTTGACGCATTTGACTGAGGGCGAAGGGCTTAAATCTTCTCTTATGAATGCCTAGAGCTACAGAGAATGCTAACCCATGCCCAGGCTTAAAAACGCTAGCTGCAGCTGTAGTGTTATGAAGTGTCTATTTATTATACTGTGCTGTGTGTGCAAAGAGCGAGGTGGTTTTCTTCCTTCTCCCACTCATTTACCCAGGAGCCTCCACACTGAACACTCAGAGCACAGCTCAGGCACGACTAGGCAGATGCGTGGCAGTGTGCGGGTGTGTGTGTGTTTGTGGGGATGAGTGTTCTAAGTCATGCTGTAGTGCCAGCAGTGCTGAGGTGTTTTACATTCTGCGCTTTATTATAGCTCCCTGGGAAACATGGCCTCTAATGAAATGAAGCAAGCCAAACAGCAATGCTAATGCTCAGCCACATCCACCAACACTGCATCTCTCCCCAGCCCACCCCCAGATTCCCCCCCCACACCAACATGCTGGGTCTGTGCTGCTGGAAATCAGCCTGTGCTCGCAGGAAGCGGATCACACAGTGCAGTGACTCCTGCAGTGAAACAGTGCTCATGGATGGCTGGGTTCAGTGCTGCACGGCTGGCACTCAGGGCTAGCTTCGTATTTATCTTGGGAGTGGCTCAAGCTCTGATTTTAGGACCTTGTTTTGTCACCACATTAAAAAAATCATTGCTTGCATGCTGACAAAACATAATTGTTAGTGATATGGCGGTCAAGATTTTTTGCCCCAGATCACGATCCTACAGGGGTGGTCACTAGCTAATTCACACATGTTGAGTCTTGAGACTCTAGGGTGCAAGTTGTAGTTGAGAAAGGTTGCCAGGTAGACAGTCTGCTTTTGGACTGGTGGAGTCTCACTGTAAATGCATTCCATCAGTTGAAGTAGTTAAAGTGCCATTCTAGTCCTGTCATTACGCTGCTCTCTCTGTCTATATCTCTTACACTCTGTCACTCTCTCTTATACTCTTATAGTGTAGAGATGCGTTTGCTTAGACTTTCAGCTGGGGGCCGGGTGCATTCTGCGGCTGCATCTCAAAATGCACATGGCGTACTGAATAGCACGTCAAATTAGTGCACCATCAAGGGTATTACTATTTAGAACATACTCTTTAGTATTGTAGTAAGCGGATTGAGACGCTGCCCATGTGTGAAGACACATAGGCAAAGTTAGGCTGTGTAATGGCAGAGTTCTGGATAAACTCATCATTTCTCGATTACAGTTAGTTTCAAAAAGCAATTAAATGTGCATCTTCAACTTATGCATCAGTTAGCCTACCTAAGACACAATTGGTTGTTTTCTCATGGTTTCAGCAAAACAAATAGTAGACTGGACATTTTATTTGTACAGCGCTCAACTGTGATGTTCATGTATTTGTGCATTTGCTATATTAAAAAAAGTATAAAGAAAAACATATAAAACTGTAAAAACTGGATTCAAGGTCCAGATTTGAAGACAGTGGTGCAAATAAAACCCAGTGGGGTAAAATAGCTTCAACAAAGCATCACAATCGCCATCCATTAAAATGTGCTTTGATTTGCTTTAATACCGATCTGTCGGTTGGGATCGAAACAGCCTTATAAATTGTTCCTTCCCCCAGCATATATGCTAAATTTCACCTCATTACACCCCATAGTTGACTGCCAAGTAATCCCACTTGTCAAACGATTTATAATGTACATTGATAAACTCAATTGCGCAACAAAGAACACATCACTCTATGTGAGTCTTCTCATCTCTCTTTATCCTTCCCCACAATGCTCTTTTTTAGTGTCTTCAAAGCTGCATAATGCAGATCCTTCTCTTCTCTCCGCTTATCGCCGTTCCAGTCATCTCTGCACACACTGAGTGAGCGAGGAGGGAGAGTAAAGCTTTTAGATAAGGCTGATTAATCCGGAATGGAAGCCCACATGGTGTCCGATGGCAGTGGCTCCTTGGGTGCCTGCTGTCTGGCCCCTTTTCTCTGTACCGTTGGCTGCTAGCGCGGCCTGCAATATGTCCGCCTGCCTCACTTTGTTGGTAGCCATCATGGTCAGTATATGCTGTTAGAGTTATTGAATTGTCAGTGGAAGGGGTGGCACGCAGGCGTGGAGAGCCAGTACATTTGCTTTTAGCTTAATGATTCAGTAAGATTGAGGCTATTGATCATTTTGCCAAGCAGCAAATTCACTGGAGTAATGAATGACTGCAGGTGTTCACATTTTTGTAATTAATTGCCCTATAATTGGATGAATTATCAGGCTCGCGGATGAAATACGAGAGAGAGGGTGACATTTTGTAGAAAGTGGCTGCCTGACAGGAAATGAGTTGTTGTTTTTTTTTTTTCTCAAGCAGCAGATATACTGTAAAATTCCATTGCTGGCCCAAGCAATAGTATGTCTCATATCAGTCATGCTTACTTTATTGTGGCCGCTAACACCTTGAGCCGACAGGAAGCGAGTTTCCAAATGTAGTATGGTGTTGCAAAGCCTTCAGGATGTCTACATTGGAAATGTCAAATCTACGCATGAAGCGTAACCTACACAAACTTTGAACCTATGAGCTGACAGCTGAAAGTGTGTCTGATCCTCAGTAATTACATTTACATGCACACAATAGCATGACTAAGTTCTCAGTCAGTCTAAAGGTGCTTTCTCACGTACCATGTTTGGTACGGACCAATCAAACCTTTTCAACAGATGTGAACATTCTGCCTGTGGTCCCCCAAAAATCATGGGTCTCTGTCAGTCTGCAGCTGGTGGCAATGCTTTTTTTACAATGCATCAACGTCATGCTTTTATCAGTGCACATCAGTACTGTACTGTCCACATAATCTGACTGCTAACTGCAGCTAATAACGCCACATGAGCAATAGCAAAGCATTTGATTTTGTCACATGGTCCACAGAACCAGGCATTAGCCACTGGATTGGATTAAATTCAAATTGATGCATAATTAAACCAATCGATCGTAGACGTAGAGACATAAGGTTCATTTTTATTACCCTGATTGTGATACACCTAAACATCAAGCACCTCAATTTTCATGTCCTTTAATAGGTAGGATTGTGCATTTTATCATAAATATATTTGAGGGATACACATGGATCTTATACTGTGACCGTGAAAGCTAAAATAAAAAATAGGTCATTTCGGGCACCAAAAGAGGAAAACGTTAATGTAACAGAGGGCTTGCCTTCATTGTCAAATTTGTGACCAATCAAAAAACACTCTGTAATTTCGTGTGTTTCAGCTGTTGCAGTGTGAAACCAACCAAACCAAATGAAAAAGATACAATGTCACAAAAATCCAAACTCTAGTGTGAACTTCACACAAACAAACAAAGTGTGAAAACAGCCTAAGAAACTAGAAATATCCAAAAAAGATATCTCTTTCTGACAAAACCTTTAACATGAGGGATGTCTCTTCCTCTCTGCAAAGGCCTTTTGCCTTTTGTCATACTTGTTTTGGTGTCAAGAAGTGATTACATGTGTGATACTGCTGTGAAAGCCACAAAATGTCATGAAAGCTCCAAGCAAGAATCAGTGGAGCAACTTAAGTGTTTACGGTCCAAATCTATCTCAAATAGTCTAGCCAATATCGGCCTGGACTATGTGTTTTGATCAGGCTAAGCTTAGGTCAGGCTGAGGGCTAAGATGTTAGTTGGACCATGACAACTGAACTGTGCTGTTTACATGATCATAGCGTATGTAGCCTAGCAGTCTTAGTCAGCCTAATTTTGAACCACTCGTGTGCATGTAAATGTAGTTAATGGACATTTTGTTGTTTTTTTTTATTATGATTTTTTAAGATCAGGAAACTTCCAGCACTCTTCCCACACTTCCCAATATATATGTCCTTAAAAATGAAAGGAATGGTCATACAGCTCTCTTTTCTCCATGGATTAATTTGTCCTCATCCAGTTTTGGCTAGTGTTTTGACGAAAGGCTTAACTGCAGTGTTTTTGTTGAGGTAGAACATCCGCATGATGCAACGTGAGATGTAAACCATAGAAACACGGTGTCCATCAAAAATGTTACATTGCATTGCATGCAGACAACTTTGTTGATTATAATGAGACCATTCCAATTTTGTTGCTGTTGCCTCACTTGCTGTTAACATAAGGTGTAATACATGTCGCTGCCTACACCCCTGTCAGTGTGATGTTTCAGGTTTTTGTCTTTATCCTGTCTTTTCTGTGGCTTTCTTGCCTGGCTTATGGGGTTTCTCTTGTATGCTTTGATCCTACAGATCCATCTGAGGGCCTGAGGTGTCATGGACATCCATCTGGATCAATGACTCAAAGCCCTCTCTCGTCCTGAGCCAGAAGTTCAGCAGGCTTCAGAAAAGCTCCTCTTATCAGAAGGAAGAGGCAGTTGACCTCAAACCCAGAAGAAGCGGAGAACGACGCAACCAGAGGCTGCTCTTTCTTTTTATTCGGATTAGCCTTCATGACCATGGTATCCAGCATCGTAAGGGCCTGTCCATCTTCGCTCCAACTTCTCCTTCCTCTTTTGCTGCTGCTGCGGTTGGAAGGGCTCAAAGCTGCCCCCTCTGGCCCGGAGTCCGACACATGCTCCACGCTGGTCCAGAACCGCTTTTTTGGCTTCTTCTTCTCCTCCTTCGTCTTTCCTAGCACACCCTGTTCGTGGACCCTGCAGAACCCGGATCCGAGGCGCTACACTATTTTCATCAAGGTCACCAAACCTACGGAGGACTGTGTGCCCCGGCAGCACCGCACCTTCCAGTATGACTCCTTCCTGGAGACCACCCGCACCTACCTGGGCATGGAGAGCTTTGATGAGGTGGTCAAGCTGTGTGATGCCTCCACTCGCATGGCCTTCTTGGAAGCAGGGAAGCAGTTCCTTCAGATCCGGAAGGGGCCTCCCAAAGTGGGTTCGGGCCGAGGGGAGGGGAACGGGGAGTTTAAGGTGGAGTATTTGGTGGTGGGAAAACGGAACCCCAGCATGGCTGCCTGCCAGATGCTGTGCCAGTGGCTGGAGGACTGCCTGACCTACAGCACATCCAGCCGGCCCTGCGGCATAATGCAGACTCCCTGCCAATGCTGGGACCCTCCTCCGCTTGACAAAGAGGAAAATGGATGCTACAGAGATGGAGTCTACCTGGAGAACTGTCTGCCCACTGTGAAAGTGCCACCTTCTGACACAGACACCAGCGGTGAGTTGTCAGCTTTTAATAGCTACGCTGCTTCCTCTGTAACGTCACAATGGTCATTAAAGTGTTGATGTACATGTCAGTTTCACTTACTCTACCCACCTCCATTTGCCTTTAGAAAGATGCTCATGCAAAGGAAGCAACGGAGGAAAGTTTGTAGGTTTAGTTATTAATATTTCACTGCTGAGTGGAGTGTGACATTGCAAAGCAGTCTCTTTTCCGTTTTTAGAATTGAGTGAGGATATTACAGACAATGTCCGTTATGCATCCCTTGTTTCAACTATCAGCAACAATGAATGACAATGTCAAAAAATACAGGGGCATAGGACCAGATCCTCTGCCCAAAGTCTGTTGTTAATTCTATGAGATCCTAACACCTTTGCTTGGTCCTCTGTCATATTAAGCACCATTCATCATATAATATTCTCTTTTCACAGAAGCCATGAAATTTACACTTGACAAAATTTTTTGAACTATGCATTTTTTTCTTCAACAACATAGATTGAATATGTTTTTGATGGAAATAAGTATTATTTATAAAACTAGAGACACATTTTTGTCTTCTTAGGTGAGCAAGCAAGTCAAATTTTATGAAATATTTTTTGTTTTACTATATGTTTCTTAATGTGGCAGTTATATGCAACTCCTCCCATTTCACACCTCATTGCTCCCTAGCAGCTCAACACAATCAAAGCATTTCACACGCAGGGAGCCAACAGTGTTCGTATTAATCTGATAAGAGTTAAAAAGAGGAAAAAAAATTATTTGATTTTATTGATTCAGAATATCAGAGATGATTTCCATTCTGCAGAAAGTCTACTAGGGGGGCCTGCAGAAAGAGGTTAACAGACAGTTTTTTGTTTTCGTATAATCTTCCATCAAAATGCAAAGACTTTTACATTTTGTAATGACTTTCATTTTACAAAAATGTCTGATTTTCGATTACAATGAAAAATAGAGTTTTCCATGTTACAGTAGTGCATATTACCTTTTTGTGTATCATTGTTGTGTAACTTTAGTTTTAATTTTTGTTTTGCTGAATTTCATTACTTCTACTACTTGTTACTCATATGTCTTTAAGAGAAGAATCTTAATTCCATTCAAAACATACATCACATTTTATCCATGTGTATCTTTGTATGTAATTCGCATATGCATGTGCTGTCTCTGACAGCTGATTGCATGGCTTAGACTGTGAATAAGAGCTTTGCAGTGCAAGCACATGAAACAGCTTTCCACCACCGTAAACTCAATAAGCGATGTGTTGAAGCAGTTAATTCTGCTAGTAAGAAACTGATAACTGGATAAAAATCTTGCTGAAGAGAAGAGAGCCCCACCTTCTCCTCAACAGACTAGACTTTTGTTCAGGAACAGCTCTGTTAGGTTTACATTCTACACTCAAAGATAAGACAGCTGTTTCTACTGGCTAGCTTCTAGATTTTCTAATAGTATCAGACAGTAATTTTAACCTTCTGTTGCACAGTGTTGCCTCAGGGCAACAAACACATTTTCTCCACTTTGCAATAACATTATACATATTTAAAGACAATGATAGGGTTAACAATAAAGGCAAGAGTTTGAGTAAGTCAATAAAAAGCATGTACTTAGTCATACTATCTCTTAGTGGGCAGAGCTTTTAAACTCTTTTTTAACATTCAGTATTTTTCAGAATTTGCAGAAATGTGTTTGTTGCCTAGAAGCAACACTGTGGAAAAACAGAATGGAGTCACAAGCCAGATCTCACCACTTCAGGGCTCATTGTCGTACAATGTTGCTTCAAGGCAACAGACTCCAAAAGGGCCGCTGCACACATTTTTAAAAATGTTTTTGAATTTAACAACCGGGTCCATTTTATGCAAGCAAACTGATTCCAATATTTTTTTAATTGCTCTCATAATACATAAAACAAAATGAATGAATGAATGACTAAGATGTTAAATAAATATAAAACCAGGCCATTTCGCTGCAGCAGTTCTAGACATTACAGCTTTGCTCACTAATTGGTGTAAAAGGAAAGGTTCTGCAAGCAGTCTAACCCTTATGTTCCTCCCAGTACTGCTTCATATATCACACAGATCACATTAGAGTTGAACTATGAGTTGTCAAATAACCTACAGTACAATTTATAAACCAGACATATGAAATTTACATCTAATTACTGTGTATAAGGCCATGGATATAGTACAGTTATTCACTAAAGGTAACCACTACATTTCTTACGTGTGTGCACATGGCCATTACTAAAAGCTTAAAATCAGTAAAATATGTACAGTTAAAGTTCACTTAGCATTATCTGTTTTCTTGATGCAAGCTATTGTAAGAGCAGAGCATTAAAGGAGTCATGATGACACATGTTTGGTTAAATTGTTCTTTAAATTATGAAGATTTTTCTTTATTCTTACTTTGCTGAAAGTGGCTTCTTTTGTTTGGAAAGAAAATTGTCCATTGGCCATTGTCCATCGAAAGTGCAGAGAAATAAGTGCTCAGAGTGCTCAAATAAGTGCTCTGAGATAGAGAAGGAGTGTGATAGATAGTGGGGAGGAGGGAAGAGAAATAGAGGTTTTAGATTTCAGCTGATGTGTCCTAACTGGGTGACCTTGGCTGCTTGGCGCCGCATGCTGCCCGTGGAGGCTCAGCGGGGGGATATCAGGTGCACTGGTGGGAGGATCTCTGTGGCAGGCAGCCGCAGCCGCTGATACAGGATAGGGATGCAGTCGCGCCGGGGGATTTGGGGATGGGAAGGTGCGGCTGGTCACTGAATCCGCCGCTATGCTCTGATTTCTCCTAAGAGAGTGGACGCAAGCCAGAAACTCAATCCTTTAGTTGATGGTTCTGCCAAACCCTTGGAGAATTTTTGCCCTCTGCGACCTCCTGAAGCAGCCTGACTTCTGTTCTTCCTCCTTTTTCTTTTACCTTTTAGTGCATTAAGCTATTTTAACCCCTTCACCCTTTATGACAGCCTGATACTTCCATTCCACACACTGTTAGAAGTAGAGTTATCACGGTCATTGTATTACACTATTCAAGAAGAATTATGTCATTAATTATTTAACTACATTGTGAGTTACACAATAAGTTACAAGTTGTCTTCTACTTATCAACACAAATATGATATTGATATGGCATAATATAGAATAAGAAACTGCACTTTTAATAGGTTTTCTCTGCATGCTTTATTAAGCTAGGAGTGGGAAATAGTCTTACGCAAATGTTTGAGTGCCCTATCAAATGGTGTCTTATGTCAAATTTTTAATTCATCCTTTTTTGAACTATAAACAGCAACAAAATGACAGTCAGCCATTGAGAGTCTTCTCATTTAAATATAGAGTCAACACCCAAAAAAACAAGCCTTTCTTCACAGTTGAGGAAATTCAAGGTTAAAATACACTATACAAAAGCTAAATTAAAGCGACCCCTCCCCCCCGACCACCCCAGATGTCTTTCAAAGAGCACAGGGAACTGTTTTTTTTTCCAATATGTAAATTACATCATGATTTTATCACAAGGGTACCTGTGATTTAATAATAACTACTTTTTTGAACTGTTTCCGTGTAGTTTCTGAATAATAGGGCTCAACTTCACATGGAGAAACAAGTTCACTTGAATTGCCTAATGAATAGGCTCTGCAACTTAATGACTTGTAAGTGGTAAGGTGGAGTTTCAAACTAGCTACAAGTGTGTTATAGGAGGTTTAACGTTACATAACTTAAGTGAAATCTAGCATCATGGAGCAAAAGCTGCTTCAAACTCAGCCTTAACACTTCCAAACGCCTCCAATTTGTGAAACAGGAGGTCAAAAAGCTGATAACTCATCATGTGATCACATTTCATGTGATTGATTTTACTGGGTCAATTGACAAGGAAATGAAACAGAAGATGGGGGAGGGGTTGAAAAGAAAATCACCCTGATCAGCTTTATGCAAGGCTGGTAATTGCTTGAGCCATGACAACAAACATGAGTTTCTCAAAGCTAATGTTTCTGTAATGATAACAGCTCTTTAAAATTAGATAGACAGACAGACAGACAGACAGACAGACAGGTAGATAGATAGATAGATAGATGGATGGATGGATGGATGGATGGATGGATAGATAGATAGATAGATAGATGATCTGTCAAGTTGCATGGCAGTTATGTTGCATGCACTTAACACCATGCAACTAGTTGCATCCAAGTTTCACCATGTAAAGCCAGCCTTAGGCCTTGTGGACATACAATTGAGCTTAAGGGATAATTCTTCAGATTGTGAAATATGGTATAATTCTTTTACTTCATGTAAGTGAGAGAAAGACAGAAAGGAAAAAGAGCAAAAAAGAGAGAAAAAATCCAATTGATTAATTGTGTCGAAGGGCAGAAAGCCATAAGAGCCCGTTTTTTTGAAGAGGCGGTCTGAGAGAGCTGAGGCGGAGATGAAATGACCAATGACTTTTTTGCTAGATGGGCTGTGTATCAATACAGGCAACCCACCCTGCATCCCCTCCCTCCCCCACGTGTTCACCCACGAGAGCATTAATGGAAGGCTGTCTGTCTTCTGCCAGCCAAATCAGAGAAACCCCTCCTGAAAAGCCTGCAGCAGAACTGCTCAGCTGCAGAAAGAGAAAGAGTGAGAAGGGGGCACGAGTGAGCGCGCTCCTCTTTAAAATGCTAAAGGCATTTGTCTGTTGTGTGAGTGTGACCCATTGCTCAGAGGCATCATGGAGGACGAGGAGACTCATTCTGTGCACGGAAGCTCAGAGCAGAGACAGATTATGGCCTGCGTTTGAGAGACTCAATAGGGGAAATGGGGGTTTGCGTGGTCAGCGGTGATTATTAGGGCCCGACTGATATTTCACCTGGCCAATAAAATCGTCCAGTATTAAGGTTCCGTGTATTTATCAGTATTGTGAAAAACCTGCCAGTAACGCGCTAAAATATTAAAATGCCTTGTATCATATTACACTGAACACATACCCCTTTTTTGTGCATAGTTGCTTCATTCTTTTTCAAAATGGTTTCGTGCTGT